ATAACTTCAAACTATTGCACTTATAATCACTAAACAAACTCATTACCACTGGCTTCACAAAAACCAAAGGTGAAAAGAATGAAACAAATGGTATGAAGTCTAATAATATGGCTAGAAAAGAAGGTATAAGGCTCAAATGGTTAGCAAGGAGGCAAATGTAAACCCAATACCAAAAATATAAAATCGAAACCTAGAAAAGCAAAAATAACCACCCCGAAAAGATGCCTTCGTCCTTCCTAAATGGTTCGATCGCGATCTCGGGAGATAAAAGACAAGTTCTAAATAAAGTAAGCAATAATCAAGGATCCATGTGCCACTAATGCAAAATAGGTAGAAGGTTAGAGAAATGAAACCTCACATGGTTGTAGCAAAAACTCACTATTGGCTTTAAATTCACTATAGGAAGCAACTCCTTCTTACCACAAACAAGTAGACTAGGGCTTCAAGGTCCCAAAGTTCTTAACATACTACCTTAGCATACTCTATCCTAAAATCAACCTAAGATATCTCAAAGCGTGCAAACCACTACTATTTAGGAAGAAAAGCATTCAAGAACACAAAATCCAAAAGTATTATGTCCAAATCAAGAATAAAACAAAACACATTGCAAAATATAAGAAAACACATGGAAATGCATATACTCAGTGCATGGCAAAAATGGACCAACATTCTACCCAAGCATGATAGAATACCCTCCCCCAAACTTGAATGAGAAAATACACTCAAATCAAAAATCATAGAGTCCATGGGAGGGGAAAAGAAAGTAATCAATCCAACAAACCAACACATGGTCTTCAAGCCACCAACCATTAGAGAAAGAGCAAGGAAAGATATTACCGGATATAAGTGGGTGTAAATACCCGCAAATGACCCAATTTAACCCTTCAAAGCCAATTTTCTCCAAAGCTATGTCTCATATACCATATGCTAGGAAAGAGGAGTCAAACTTCCTTGATTCTTGATCCAATACCAATGCACCAAAGTATATCAAGTTATATACATAGCAAAGGGCACACAAACATTTCCATGAGCGAAAATCTATACTAAAAAGAAAAGAAAATAAAAGCAATAAAACACGGGTTACTTCCCGAGAAAGGCTTGCTTAAGGTCCAAGCTTGACCGCTCTAGTAAATAATATTAGAATGAACGCAAGAGCTTATCAAACGCACTACTACACATTTCATAGGATAAACGGTAGGAAAATGACGGGAGGAGGACGTGAAACAAGATTATTGCATGCAAATGAGGTGGGAGATGCCAAAAGAAAGAAGAAAAATCAAAAGAAAAATCAAGAAAATAAGGAAAAGAAAAGGAAGAAAAAGAAAAAGAATAAAAAGGCAAAACCTCCTTAAAATCTTTTTGGGTGGCAAAATCACCCTTTTCCTCAATAATCGATGAGAGAGGGGATTGAATATCACCAATAGAAGGAGGGTCCGCAATAGGCTCTTTGTCAAAAGAAAGGAGGACATAGGATAGTAGGGGATATGGTTAAATCTTCTTGAAAAAGGGACATGGAAAAGGGAATATGAGCAATGGTATCACCTATGAACTCTCCCTCACCACCATTCCTCAAATCACCAATAAGAGCATAGAAATCAATCACAGAGTCCTCAAAAGAAGAACACTCATGATCTCCATTTCCCTCAAACATCCAACCTCCAAGAGAAACCACATCTTCCTCTCTATCACAACGATGGACAACAACTCCCTCAACATCCTCAAAGCCTAGAGTCTTAAAACCAGACATGAAAGGATGCAAATTCATTTCAAACTCATTTCTCTCCCATGAAGCATTATCAATGAACTCACTCAAAAGGTATGAGTTTTCGTTACTCCTTAATGAACACACTAGTCATAACCTCAAATGAGTCCAAATACTCATGGATCGAAGGGTCACAAACATGCAAGGTAGACTCATCAAGATAGGGAAGGGGGTTGGAATCCACAAAATCAACATTTACTTCATTCTCAACTCCTCCACCATCATCCAAGGGACCCTCAATCTCCCTTGGTTGCTCAAATTCATCATCATTATCCCCATGAATTCCTTCATCCAATATTGAAGATGGCCCACTCACATCCTCACCAAGGGAAGCTCTTAAAGGGGGAAAATAAGGGGGAGGAAGGCGCTCAAGCTCAAAAGGGGAATGAAAAGGTTCAAAATCCTCAAAAATCCTCTCATCACAAGAAAATCTCCCCTCACCTTTACACCCTTGGCCCATATCATCCTCAAAAGCACTCTCACACTCCAAGTGAGGTGCCTCGCATCCATTTCCAACAACCCTAGCACTCATCACTTGGGCAAGTCTCACTTCTCTCACTTTTTGTTCCTCTTGAAGCTCTTGGACTTGTTGGGTGAGATATTGTATTTGGGAAAGAATTTGGGCATCAATGTTATTGGGTTGAAGTTCACAATTACCATTAAAATGCATATCATCAACATTAGAACACACCTCATCACAATGAGCATAAGAGGGAAAGGGGTTAACATGCATATTTGGATCATCACAAGGCATATTAAAAGCATCAAGAGAATTCATGCAAAAATTAAAAGAATCTTGACATTGAGAGTCAAAACAAGAAACATGACATTCTCTATCATAAGAATCTCTAGCAAGCCATGTGAAGAAATTCCAAGCATCATGCATAGGCAAAAGATGGAATCTACCATTATACATATTCCCAACCATTCCCCTAGTATACTCATTCATGCCCTAATAAGCTATACCACAAGTATCACTAAGAGAACAACCATGGAAACTAAGGAAACCATCAAGTCTTTCAAAATAAGCAAAGAAGGGTTCATCATCAAATTAAGGAAAAGATAAGCATGCATTTTTTTTTTTACACAAAGCAAAGAAAAGAAAACAAAAATCAAAACTATACACAAGAACCTAGCTAATCTAATCAACACAAACTAATGAACGCATTAGTCCCCTGCAACGGCGCCAAAAAATTGATCGGGGGACAATAGGTCGTTGGTCTACTATCCTAGATCAAATTTACAATTTATATTCCTAACCAAACTATATCAAATTCACACTAGATAGTGGCAAGCTAGGTTGAACCACAAGGACTAAGTGTATTAATTTGAGGTGATTAAACTAGTAGAAAGGTTGTGAGATAGAGAGAGAAACAACTGAAACACTACTTAAAGCAATAAACAAGATATTAGGGAAAGGGGAATCCAATTCCATTAATGAATTCAATAACAAGTCGCAATTAGATGATCATGATCTCAATTATGAACGATTAACACACTCAACTCACTCCCGCACAATTAAGCATGCTAATTATGCTACTAAGCTGATTCACTCCTGCGCAACTAGCCTAGCAAAGGTATGGAAGAATCTAGACTCTCAATCAACTCACTTCCGCACAATTGATTGGAAGCACAATTAAGAACCAAGAATCAATTAGCTAAAAAGATTCTAGTCAATGTAAGCATCATCCAAACACAATAATCAAGAATCAATTGCATACTAATCACAAAAAATCACTCAATTCATCAACATAACCTTCATCCATTTCCCTAGAACAAAATCTAAGCAAGCATAATGAAGGAAAACATGGAAAACAAGGTAAAACTAGAGTTAAAGCAAGAATCAAACAAGTAAACTAATTAACTTCTCTAATCAACAATGAAATAAGCAAAAACAAGAATCAAACAAAGCAATAAAAGTGAGAGAAAGTTAGAAAAGCTCATTGAATAGATGAGAAGAGAATCCAAAAAATTGCTTCTTTAAGCTCTCAAATCTCCATTGAAATCCAAGCTTTCTCTCTCTAAAACTACTCCTAAACTAGGGAGAGAAAATCCTAATCTAACCCTAATCCTAATTAGAGGAGAGAGGAAATGTAAAACTTGTCTTAAGGAAGTCTAAGAAGTCCTCTATTTATATTACAAGAAAAGAAAGAAATCCGGAAATTAAGCTCGAAAAAGACCTAGAAACCCGCGCCCGCGGCAAGGCTTCTCCGAGGCATCTCCAGAAAGTTACAACAGCTAGGAAGAATAGAGGGCCGCGCCCGCGACACCATTAGCCACGCCCGCGTCGGCTGCGCATCCTGGCAGCGTCTTGCAGATTCAAACGACCATAACTTCTATTCTAGGAGGTCTCTTCGGGTGTGCGACCTACCGTTGGAAAGCTCTTCTACGAGCTTCAAGCTTTTGCAAGACTTTGTTTAAGGCCTCAATCCATTGTGTAGGTAAAAAGTTATGGCTGAAAGAGTGAGCAAGACTTTGTTTAAGACCTTCTACGAGCTTCAAGCTTTCTTGCCTCAAGCTTCTTAGCTTCTTTCTTAGCTTCAAGGTTCTTCTGTTGATTTTTCTTGTTTTTTCTCGGGTCATAAGCATCGAAAAAAGCATCAAGCACCTACACAAATAGACCAAGAGAGAAAAGAGTGAAAGAAAACATAGAAAAACACGTAAATCAAGCTAGAAATCGAGCAAAAGGCATATTATTCACAACTAAGGCCTAAAACCATAAACTAAGACAAATATAACTAAAACAAGACTAAAAGGAATAGAAATAACAAAGAAACACCGAAATAAACCTAAAACTAAGGGAGAAAAACGCCCTAAAATGTGTTATAAATGATACTCATCAGTTGAATACTTAGATTATGCCTACTGGCACTCCCCATTCTACCACTTCTAGATTCATTTTCCTTATTTCTCCACATAACTCATCAGCCACTATCAAAGTGTTCAATCCATGACTGGTTTTACGAGTTAGAGCGTCTGGAACTACATTTGCTTTCCCCTCATGGTATTGTATGTCTAAGTCATAATATGTCGTGTATTCTAACCATTTTCTTTGGCGTGAGTTTAAATCCCTTTGAGTGAAAATGTATTTCAAGCTCTTATGGTCTGTATAAATCCTACATTTCACTCCATACAAGTAGTGCCTCCAAATCTTTAGCGTAAATGATTGCATCTAGTTCTAAGTCATGAGAAGGGTAATTTACTTCATGAGTTTTTAATTGTCTTGATGCATATGCAATTACCTTCCCATTTGCATAAGTACACACCCTAGATCATTCTTGGATGCGTCACTGTATACATCATAAATACCATTATTGTCTAGCAGTGTAAGCACTGGCGCTGTGATCAACTTTTGTTTCAAGAGTTGGAATGCTTCCTCACACTTGTCATCCCACTCGAACTTCTCATCCTTCTTCATTAGAGAGGTCATAGGTTTAGCAATCTTCGAGAAATCTTTCACAAAACGCTTATTATACCATGCTAAACCTAAGAAACTCCTAACGTTAGACACCATTCTTCGCATAGGCCAACCTTTCACTACCTTGATCTTTGCTGGATCTACTTCTACCCCATCTTTGGACACAAAATGACCCAGAAATGTTACTTTCTCCAACCAAAACTCACATTTGGAGAACTTTGCATAAAGCTTGTTTTCCCTTAGTGTTTGCAAAATTGCCCTCAGGTGTTCTACATGTTCTTCTTTAATCTTCGAATACACTAGTATATCATCTATGAACAGTACCACAAACTTGTCCATAAATGGATGAAACACCGTATTCATCAAGTCCATAAAGATTCTGAAGCATTCACCAATCTAAAAGGCATTATTGTGAACTCATAATGTCCATATCTTGTTTTAAATGTAGTCTTGGGAATATCTTCATCTGCAATCCTAAGTTGATGGTAACCAGACCTTAAATCAATCTTAGAAAACATAGTTCCGCCTCTTAACTGGTCAAATAGGTCATCAATCCTTGGTAATGGGTACTTGATCTTTATGGTGACCTTATTCAACTCCCTATAATCAATACATAACCTCATACTTCCATCTTTCTTCTTCACAAATAAAACTAGCGCTCCCTAAGGTAATGTACTTGGTCTTATGTATCCCTTGTCTAATAAATCTTGCAATTGTTCCTTTAACTCACTCATCTCTACAGGTGCCATTCGATGTGGTGCCTTTGAAATTGGTGTTGTTCCTGGAACTAGCTCTATTGTGAAATCAATTTCCCTTTTAAGTGGCATTCCAGGAATCTCTTCTGGAAACACATCCAGAAACTCATTTACTACTTCTAATCCTCAGGCTTAGTTGTCTCTTCATGCTCCATATTCCTCACACTACAAAAATACACTAAATGCCCCTTCTTGATATATTTCCCTACTTGTTTCGATTGGGATCCTTGGAGAAACATTCATATTCCTTGTGTCCTAACTTGTTGCAAGCACGACATGTAACCAAATTTCCATCACAATTATTACCAGGGTGATCGTTCTTACACATCTTGCAGTAGAAATGCCTTGCTCCCCTGTTATTTCCCTAGGTAGAGTTCCTAGCTCCACCATTAAAGTTTCGTCCTCCGTGACGATTGTTGCCTTGGAAATTATTGTTGTTGTGGAAGTTCTTGTTATTATGGTGGTACTTCTATTTCTTGAAGTTGTTTTGGTTGCCTTGCGGGTTTCTAGAGTCCTGTCCCATCTCTTTTTTTCTTTTCCTTCCCTTCTATCTCAGCTATCTCTTTCTTTTTCTTTAATTTTAAGGCGTATAGGTGTGCAGCTCTCCCATACACTTCATCTAAGGTTTCAAATACTTGCCCACACAGTTTAAACTGCAAATCGGTAGTCAGTCCACTCTCAAACTTCGTAGCCTTAGATTCTTTTGTAGATACAGACTCTTTAGCAAATCATGACAGCTCAATAAACTTGGTGTAGTATATAGTGACCGACATATTTCCCATTGCAAGATTAGAAAATTCCTCAGCTTTTTGTTTCTGTAAGAAGCTAGGGTAAAACTTGTCCCTAACCTTCCCTTGAAACATAGTCCAGTTGAATCCAAGTAATGCCTTAATGGTAGCTTCATTTTGCTGCCACCAAAGGTCAGCTTCACCCCTGAGGTAATAGGTAGCACAACTTACTTTTGAGTTCTCTGGACACCTTACTGCCCCGAACAATTTCTCAAACTCCCTCAACAAATTTTCTAGTATAGTTGGATCAGGCTCTCCTTGATAGGTTGGTGGCTTGCTCTGCGCCACCTTCTTAAATAGCTCTCCTTGAGCATCTAGATTATTGGTTGAGTTCCTTGCTAACTGTTGGGCAACAGCTGCCAACTGCCTCACAACTTCACTTAGCTCTCCTCCATCGTTGTTGTTACCACTCCCTCCTGCCATCCTTCTTCTCCTGAATTAAAACAAGAGGTCTTTATTAAACACGGTCTTAGCTAGCTCTCAAGTTAGACACCCATCTAACTAACTCACACCCTTAAGATATACACATTAAATTTTAAGCTAACAAATTGGGATTGCAAAAGTTAAAATTCCTAAAATTTGTAGCTTTGTCAACCAAATATTGATTGCTAACCAACCACACATTTAATAAAGCATCACATTAATAAATAAAAATAATTCCCATGGGTTCTCAGAGTTTAGAAATGAATTATTGGAATATTTTTTAGTAAGAAATGGCTTATTGGAGTAGTGATACGAAATGAATGATTTGGGAACAAAATGAATGTTTTGTCAATAAAATGAATGTTTTGTCAATAAAATGAATTAATTGACAAGGAAATAAATGATATTTTATTGTTGAGTAAGAAAATGAATGGAATACTGAAATAAAATGAGTTTAAATAACTTATGCAACTACATAAGCTTACTAACTCATCGTGGACATGCCACTTTATTACTTCATTGAAACTGGAATAATTAAAATGCGGAAACGAATCTAAGAATCCTAACATAAATGAAACTACAAAATCTAGTTCTTTTGAACATTATCCTTCTTTATGGTAGATTGTGTGTAGCTTCCAGGATCGAATTCAGGGTCATCTTCTTCCTCCATTGGTTCAGGTGACTCTGGTTCTTGCTCTACTTGGACAAACTCTTCATCTTCCTCATCATCAGATTAAATATCAATTATAATTAGAGTTGGAGGTGGATTTGGGTTTGGAATCTCCAAAATGGAACTATCAACAGTATGGTTACTCTCATCCATCATCTCTCCTTCTTCCTGCCCTCCATCTGACCCTGCTTGATTACCCTGAGTGGGAGAAGAACTTCCTGACTGATGACTAGTGGAAGGGGAATTATTCCTTGACGGATTATTATAGTAGTAGTTGGGATATGGAATGTGTAAGTTCTGGCAATGATCTTTCTCAACTCTAACGAGGTAAGAAATTAAGTATTTGTGGTTAGGGTACCACTGTCCATAGAAATTTTAATATTTAGAGTAGTTTCGGATGTCCTAAGGTAAATAGAAATCAGAAAATTTTGCTTTGATAGAAAGATATGGGGGTTCCTCTGGAAGACAGTGAATAATCATAGTAGAAACACGATCAGGAAGATCATAGTGCTTGTCTCCTAAGACATCGCTCATATAAGAACAATAAAATTGGATTTTCTTGACATAGTCAAACGGATGTTCATAGTCTTTATTAATTAGAGTACCAATTTGGGAATGTTTGCTAGGAAGAACTGGCATCCTATAAAGGAAAAGGTTTAGACAAGAATTCCCTTCTCAAGAAAATAAAAACAATACAGTTCTTGCATGAATTAGGTTCAATGTTCAATAAAACAATTTCACCTATTTCTAATCATATAATCACATGCTTTCAATTAATCAATTCACATGATCAAACATCACAACCTAAAGTATTAACGCATACAAGAACATGATTGTTTCTAACTTATATGCCAAAATTCACTCCTACCCAAGCTCACCAACATGCCTTTAAAAGCTTTTAACACATAATACTTACCTCAATTCTTGCTTTACTACAAAGCAAGCAAACTAAAAATATTTTTGACTCCTCTTTTAAAATTAATTTTCGAAAATAAGCCCCAAAAATGCCAAAATATTCAGCCAAATTAAAAAAAATAAAAATTCGGACACCCAAATTAAAAAAAAAACCAAAAATTCGGATGTTCCTTTAAAAAAACAATTCGGATTTTTCAAAATAAACAAATAAAAAAAATAAAAAAATTCAGACCTCTGTAAAAAAAAAAAAATTTCGGTTTCCAAACATTAAAATAAGTGAAAATAACCCTCTTTTAAAATACTTAATTAAATAAGCACTTGGCCAAGTTTAAAACAAAACACTTTATAACTCGTTTTTGGCTTTAGTGGTAATAAAAATTTTAACCAAAACTCCTAGATACCACTTTGTAACACCCTAAAAATTCTTTTTCTTTAAAAAACCCATTTTGCCCTTTTTAAAACACAAAATAGGAAAATCTAAGACATTACTGCCACCGTGAAAACGGCTAAGGCAAATATTAAAGACACACAGCGGAAGACTATCTTTAAAACCATTTAAAAACAAGTCAACTTAAAAGTCAAACCAAACGAAAGTAAAGCCAAACAAAGTCAAACGAAGTCAACCTACAACTTGGAACCATTGTAGGCCCTTAAAACCAAACAATACTGAAAACCTTTGCGTTAGTCTCATGAGCATAATAAAATAAATAATATTCAAAGCAATTAAAAACACATCATATTCCTATGGAAACTAAGCATGATTCGCTCTTCACTCATGCCCATCATGAAAATGCTTCATCACCTGAAAAGCTTCTCTCTACTTGTCCCCACTACTCGCCATTAGAAATGGGTCGTCGTAGGGCCAAGGTAAAAACAAGGCCAAACAAACATACAACTCATAATCAGCAATGATGTGTACATAAGCGTAATAAAAACACACTAACATGCTTCCATCCTGTCAACACACAACTTACCTTGTTGCACCCGTTTACAAGCATACAACATACAAAACGACCAACCAATAAATAAAGGAATTGCTTATTTTATTTGATTACGCATCGAACGGGTTTCCCACCAAATCCCTGCCTTTAATAAATTGAGGTAAACTACACCAAGAGCTAACTGGGTAGGCAAATGTCACATGAAGTGACTGAACGTCCTGCGCATAAAATAAATAAAAAGGAAAATACAACGTCCTATACTCCCAATAGAAGTCATGGTTAAATATAAAACCCCATAAATCCTCCCATATGTTCATATCCAAGGTACATACGTTCCAAGAGTTTTGGTGCGTAATCTCTTTCACTTTATGTTGTTTACATATTATTCAACATGGTGATGACTCTTAAACCATAACATAATCAAACATTATAGTTAAACAAGCAATCAATCATACCCTCTTAATTCTTGAATAATTAGTGACCATATAAATTTAATTGTTGAACCCTTTTTAATCTACCTCGGTGTCAATGACACCTTGAATGCATAATGCACCGCAAATCCTATCCCTCGGTGTTAGAAACACCTTAAGTGCGCATAGGCACCGCAATATAATTTATTCGTGTGTACTACGACACTTAAATAGCTCCTTCCTCATGCTTATAGCATCAATAAAAATTATATGAACCATAATAAAATTCCTTTTCAATATTCCAAACCAAATTAAACACTGAGTTTGATTGAACATGCTCTCAATCATGCCAAGAATAAAAGTGTGGTTCATATTCAACATGCCAACATAATTAATTCCAATCATCAATACATCACAAATAATTCATACATCACAAATCATTTACCAACAACAATTCAATCAACAAATTC